TACCGATGCCGACCTCCGCAGTGAATATTCATGTGCTAAGTGCTTCTGGATGGCCTCCCGTGAATGCTAACAGTAAACCACGTGTGCTCACATGACATTGTCTACACGGGGGGATTTTTAAAGTTAATTGCCTTACAAGGCATCATGCACATAAAAACATGGTTGAAAGACAACATTTTTACAGAGGTTACGTTGGAATGGTGGATTGTACTCAGTATTTCCTCTTACTGTTTTTTTTCTCAGGTGTTCTATGTTGAATATGTAATGTTTCATGAATTAGAAACAAATTAATACCTTCTCTTCCTTTATTTGAATTGAACTCTGACATACTTGCGTGGGGTCAGTGTTAAATCCCGTCCTGCAGACCTGTGCTGGACCTTCAATGCCCAAGGCATGGCCACGGGGTGGGATGGACCCTTCCATGCTGCCTTTCATGGCGTCCTGGGACAAGGCTCACCTGTTGGTTCTCACTACGTTGCATTGCTACATCCTCCTATGCAGGAAGGGAAACGTTGACCTTCTCCCTTAACGAAGGTCAGGCCTGGGCTTCGGTGTGGGAAGAGGCACAGATAGCCTGAGGGGAGTAAAGCAGGGCCAGCCGGGGACCTGCTCAGGTCCCTCTCCACAGATGGAGCCACAGCCTCCTGAATGCTATCTGAGGTCGCCGGTGGGAGGGAGGGAGGGAGGAATCTGACAATCGTGTATGGGTTTCACCCTGGGTTGGGGCCGGGGACAGGAGTTCTGTGTCCCCGGGGAGCAGAGGAGCTGGGCTGGCATTTAATTCCATCATGGGACTCATCCACTCTGACCATCCGGGGGCCTGTGCCCGCCAGCCCTGTCCCTACTATGTTTAGTCCCTTGTCAGTGTGGAAGAGCGCTGAGAATGATCCGCACCGACATCCCTCTGTCCAGCCGCATAACGTCAAGGTCCTGACAACAAGCCCCAGTCCACCCAACGCCTCCCAGCGCCCTCCTCTCCTGCCCAGTGGGGACCGTGGACACGATGACCCAGCACATGTGCTGTTCCTCTCCCTGCCACCTCCCCTCCTAGCAGGGGACAGGAAGGCTAGCAGCAGAACAGGTTGCTACTGGCCCTGGGGACAGCCCCATCCAGGAGAGTGGGAGGTGGTAGAGTGGACGCTGGTGGGGGTCGGCTCCGCACCTGTCCTCCTCTCTGTCTGCCAAGCTCTCCACACCTGCATTCGAGCTGTGGACATGTCACAGTCTCAGCTGTCACTCTTACCTGGCAGCCTGGTGTCCTCCAGCCTTCTTCTTTTCCCACAGAGGACTTTACAATTTTATTCCATGCTACTCCACCAAGTGAGTCATCGTTCTTTGCCTTTAAAGCATTTCGCGGAGCTTATTTAAATAAGTATTTCAACAGCTATCTGTTTCCTTTACTAGCTTGGAAGTTCTGGAAAGGCAGCATTTAATTCCTACAAAGGAAATAGAAGGCATTAATTTGTTTTTAATCCATGAAATATTGATTACAAAATAATACATATTCAACATCAAACACCTGAAAATCAGTAAGAGGAAAAATTTTGTGCAATCTGGAGGCCTTCCATGTTGAGATGCTCACAAAATGAGAGGTAAATAGATGAGGAAGAAAGAAAGAAGGAGGAGGAGAAGGGAGGAGAAGGAGGAAGAGGAGGAGGTGGAGCTGGAAGAGGTGAAGGAGGAGGAGGAAGAGGTGGAGCTGGAAGAGG